TTTTTGAAGGGACGCGCACTGGTATCTTGAGGAGCTTTTCCAGCTTCACCGGGCAGAGTGGCGAGTACAGAAGGTACTCTAGCCGTTTGGCGATCGTCGGTGCGCGTGCCGACGAGGCCGAGTGTGGGCTTCGCGAAGCGAAGCCCAGGCTCGTCCGCGTCGGTCGCAGACCGACGTTCGCGATCGGGCCGTATCGAGCGCATAAGGCGCCCGATCAGTGGAGAACCCAACTAGAGGGTTGCCCACCGCGGTGTTGGACCAAAGTCCAGCCTACGGCGGGCTCACTCTAGTGGGCCCGATCGAGGAACTGAAGCGACAACCATGGTGTCTAAATTTATAAGCCTTTAGGTGTCTTTAGAACGATTGGTCTAACTTATCTGCTTCTTTTTAGACCATACTTTACTTTCAATAATAGCCACTCGAGTTGACCGAGTGAGGTTGATGCAAAGTATAATATGTAGCAACTCCAAGATATGAAATTTCTCATCAGATGAATTACAGGCCAAAGCTTCACAGTTGTATGTAAAAAAATCGTAGCCACTTGAATTGGCCACTTGAAGTGGTCTTATGTGCAGGGGCCTTGAAATATCCGGGTGCGGGTGAGATTGTCCCGCGGCTTGTACCGTAAGCCAGGACCAAGGCCGCGTACCACGTGAGCAGGGCAGGGACGGATCACATTAATAAAACGTCTCTTATTTTTCATTATGAACTAGATACGAGTATTATACAAAATTCGTAGCCACTCGAATTCGCCACCAGTGGCCTAATGTGCAGGTGCCTTAAAATATCCGGGTGCGGGTGAGATTGTCCCGCGGCTTGTACCGTAAGCCGGGACCAAGGCCGCGCGCCACGTGAGCAGGGCAGGGACGGATCACATTAAAACGTCCCTTTTTCATTATTAACTAGATACAAGTATTATACAAAATTCGTAGCGACTCGAATTCGCCACCAGTGGCCTAATGTGCAGGGGCCATAAAATATCCGGGTGCGGGTGAGATTGTCCCGCGGCTTGTACCGTAAGCCGGGACCAAGGCCGCGCGCCACGTGAGCAGGGCAGGGACGGATCGTCCCCTATTTTTTACAACATCACATCACCATTTATACCACTGACCGAGTTATCAGCAGTTCCTTAAATTATGCTGGACACTGTTTCAATTTATACATATTATATCATATACCTACAGGGTGATTTTGTTATCAGTATCCAAAGTTAGGAGCGACTCAGAATCACTAACTTAATCGATTTCCGTAAAGAAAACAATTTTTGATTTATAAATTTTTCGGTTTCAAATTGGCTCACGTGGATAATTTGCTTCGTCCATAGAAAAATACGTAGGTACACACAGTTTACTACATAGCTTAATAGACATACTAATGCTTCGCAAAAATAAGCCTTAACCTTTAAAAATTAAGTTATGGACACACGCGAAATAGATTTTCAATATTTTTTTCTCGTAAAATACCGCGATTAAGAATAATCTATTAATGGTAGAAAAAGGCATACTCGTACACAAAAGTTTGTCTCTCTACAAAATAAAGTTGTATGTTACTACGGATTACAATACGGTTTTCATAAAAAATTCAAGAGTAGGCTTTAGGTAAGTATAATACATTACACTCGTGCGAAGTCCGAAGCCGGGAACTAATTTATACAAAAAACTTAGCAGCTTATCCATTTATTATGTCTTCTGTTTACCTTTGAATAAATTACCCGTGTTAAGACGATACTGTATTTAATACTCTAAAGATATTAATTACGATAGGACTTCTCATAAATTATTTATTAGGCATGTTAAGTATACAATCTGCCTAAACACTTTTAGTCCTCGGCTCTTTCTGAAAATAATGTTTTCTCTGCCTTAATTAAGTTTTCAATATTTCCAACACAAATCAAAGTAGTGGTAATTGATTGCAATCAATAGTGGGCTAGTTAATATACAGTGACTTCCCGTTAAATTATCCTGAATAAAATGGAGGTGTTTGAATCATCAATTTATTCCATTATTTAACTAAATGTGATTATTAACCCGTTATAACACTTCGAAGTGCCGAGAAAACCGCAAAATTGCTATCCACAACATCAACCCTCATGAAAATACCACTAAATATGCGTTAAAATTAATAACTAACTATATAAGTCTTCATATTTTCTGCCTAGAAAATAAGATTATTATAGACTATTTGACACCATTCCCCAATAATCTGAAATCACATTTTTTTAAAAAAAGTCTTCATTCTGGTCTTAAAAACTTAATTTTAAATTTTCTGTAATATAAGGTTTTTGGTTGCATAATAATTGATAAAAGTAGTTTTGAGTTGATAAAACAGTGACGTTGCTTGCTTGTATTGCTAATTTACTATACAAAATCTATAAGAGAGATTGATTGGTGGTGTCAAATAGTCTAATTTACTCAAGCTCAATAAATAAATATTTTATTCTGTTGACACATGTCACTTTACTACGACTACAATATTAGGCAAGTTGTCGGGCCTTGCCAGGGCCCAGGGGCTCGATGGGCATATTTACATCTACGTATAATACCCGGGCCCTTAACGCAGGTCGCGCCGTGCTGTGTCCCACTAAGCTGGGACGAAGGGCGCTCCGGGATATTGTAAACACCCCTCAATATTTCTATAGAAACCCACACCAGCATCACCGATTTACACGCAAATAACTTGGGCTATGTTATTGTATATTGAATATTGCACGCTGAAAGGAAAGCCTTTGTCGTAAGGCGACGTGTGTAACATCGTAAGGTGATAACGCCCGTGATAGGTCGTCGCAGTGTCAATCAATTACCTATTTCAGTAACAAAGGCGCTAGTCACTATATTAAGATAGTTTGTAAACGTTGGGCCTAGATATCACGAAATCACGTATTATGAAGATTTATTAGCTACATAATATGCTACGAGTGCTACGAGCCGTGTAGCTACGAGATCATAACGCGTATACATTCTGCTACATCGTAACGCTCTCCGCTACGAAGGGGAAGGAACGAAGACGAAATAAATGCTTTTCGTTACCTATTTAATTAAATCACGTATTCAAGATTCCGTCCTAAAAAATATGAAACAAAAGCTTTATGAATCTGACTGAAAATGAAACATTGTTAACATTCCGCGATTGTTAAGGGACGTCTTTATTAGAGGCACGGAAGTGTGAGAGGCCAGCCATCCAGATAACACTCGTGAGTATTTATTTTACTATGTAAAAAAAAGTATATAAGTAGTATATCCGTTAAGCTAGCACCCATAACACAAGCATTAAGTTGCTTACTTTGGGGCTAGCTGGCGCTGTGTGAAATTGTCCAAAGATTTATTTATTTATTTATTTACTGTGTGAGGTTTGAGATGTGAGTCGGTTGTCGTTCTGTAAAAAGTTAGCCACGCTATTTTGCAAGGAGAGCCAGGACACGCGGCCGATCATAATATTGTTGAAGTAAAGTAGATAAACTGGTTTTACATTTATAAACAAGGTCGCATTGAGTCCGACTATAGTAACATAAACGCTATTTAAGCTTAAGTAAAGTCTTCTCTTCAATTTTAACGAAACAGGCGCTACGTTAAGAACTACGCCGCTTTTTTTAATGTGGGCGCGTACTAAAAAACACAAAAAGTATTGGGAAGCCGGGCTTCAAAGCGCGGCTTCGTAGGGACTAGGGACGCGCCTTTATACCACGGAGATTGCGCCAACAAAGACGTCAGAACTTATGAACTTACAAGAAGGGTCTAACTTGCCCGCTAGAGCAGTAAAAATGACACAACCAAACAGCTTTCGGTTAAATTTAGACTTTTAAGAAACTTCCCTTTATTCTTCAAAACTATGTTAGTCTTTCAAAAAACTAATTATAACTACAATAATAATAACTAAAAAGGAAATTTAAAAGACTTCTACTCGTACAAACAGCACTATACAAGAGATTGCAAACTAATTAGATGGCAGCATCTTTCTTTATCTCTTTGTACAACGGTTTCTTTGTAGTCTCCCAACTAAACTGATATGCGAATATTGACGGCAAAGATGTCATTAGTTGTAGAAACAGTAATAAACATAATATTATTTATTTGGT